AACATTCCTACTCCTAATGAATTTTTTATTATGATAGTTCTAGAACTTGTATCCAAACTCTTCTAAGTCATAACCAATGAAGGTGCACTTGACAGATTTCAAGTCAAGCTTACTTATAAACCATGCATTAACATGTACATATGCAAAACACCTAAATATTTTAAATGATATAGATTTACATTCTTGTCACTCCAGGCTTCTTCAGGTAAGCCTTCTTCTAAAGGTACTGATGATTCACAATTAATCAGATAAACATCAATATTCAGTACTTCAACCAAAAACTATTTTGTCAAGCCTGCATGTAGCCTCATACTCCCGACACGCTCCATGATTATTCTATACAAGCGCTTAGCCACAACATTTTTTTGTGATTTCCTTAAGATAGTGAACTCATGTCCAATCTTCTGTATAACACATAAATTCATGAACTTTTGATCACGATACTTGTCTCCTTTCTCTGATTTAAGACACTTCAGCTTCAAGTTTGTCTCCTTTTCTACCATAGTCTTCCACTTCTTAAACTCTTCAAATACATTAGATTTTTATTTTAAGAACTAAACCATACCATCCTAGTATGATCGTTAATAAACGTGACAAAGCAGTGAGAACTTCTAATAAATTGAGTTGGAGTAAGACTTCATGCATCAATATGGACTAACTTCAATTATTTGAATTAAACAGTATCCCACTTTTAGAGAAATAAAATTTCTTTTATGACTCCTATATACAATCTTCATGGAAATTTAGATCTACTGATTTTAAACTTTGAATTTTATTCTTTGAAAATAAGGACTTCATATCTTTCTCGCTCATATGGCCAAGCTTAAGACACCACAAACCTGCATCCATCTTGTTTAAAGAGTGCCTTCCATGTTGCCCCAAGATATCATCATTTCCCCTGTGGTCACCTTTCACAAATCACATATGAAAATAGTTGCAAACCTAGACTTTATCAGTTGGCTCACAACAATGAGATTTTTATTCATACTTGGAACATGTTTAACTTTAGTAAGCTTCCAAACTATTTTATTTGACAACTTCATGTCCACATAACTCTTTCCTATAACATTGTAAGCCTTGTTGTCTCTTAGATAAACCTTCCCAAGATCATTATTAGTGTATTTTAGAATTCCTTGGGCCATGAGTGAAAAGAAGCTTCTAAATCTACTATCCAAGGTTCAATAAATAGCACTAGGGAGTCACTTTGGATTTTATTAGTGGAGACATTTGTAATGAGATTCATTTTCTATCATCCACTAGACTACCCCGTGGAGCTTTACAATCCTTCTTGAAAAGTCCATTTGTTCCGCAGTTCCAACATTCCTTTCTTTCATCTCTTTTGCTTGATCTGAACTTTCCTTTTATGGACTTGAATTTTTCTTTGTCTGAATTCCTACCAAGGTTCTTCCTCTATTTTTTGTATTCAACGCAAAACCAGAAGATTTACTATTTGCTAACTTTCTATGAACATCTTCATTCAGCCCCAATTCCACAATCTCATCAAAGTTCAACTTCATATTCCCAAAAGCATTACTCATTGTTGTCGCCAAGTCATCCTAGTTATCTGACAATGAATACAATATTAGCAGTGCCCTAACCTCATCAACAAACTTGATTCCTGCACAACACAACTAGCTCGTTACATTATTGAAATTATTTAGATGTTATGCCATTGAACTATCTTCCACCATATTCATGCTTGGTAACCTCTTCATTAGAAAAAGCTTATTTGAAGCAAAATGTTTTTTGTTAATCTTTGTCAGTATTGCCATGAGATCCACCGTGTTTTCCTTATTTACTATATTAAATGCAACAAACGAGGAAAGTCATAAACGAATCAAACATAGGGTCATTCGATCCAACACCTCCCATTCCCCATAGATATAAACTCAAACTTCTTGTCAATACATTGTAGCGGCAAAGATAATTTTTTTGGATACAACAAATCCTTAACTTACATCCTCTAGAACATAAAGTTCATTCCATTGAACTTCACCACTTTGTACATTGTTTCGTCAGTCATTGTTCTCACTCAAATCTAACACCTCCCTCTGATGCATCTTCGTTGGGATGAAAACATTATATATTTAATAATGCTTCGATCCAATTATAAATCAAAATCACACTACAAAATATGATCTCACTGATTGGAGTAATCTGATCAAAATATTCAAACAGAAGCAAGACAAAAAATAATTAAGAAAAAAAGAATTAAAGTAGAAAAACCCAAGAATGAAAAAAAAAAAAACAACTAAGCTACACTACAAAGAAATTCTCACTATAAAATTCAGAAAAGTACAAAAGTACTCATTCTGATCTTTTCTCTACAATTATTAGAAATTGCGGGACTTTGCTTCAAGCCTTTTTTTCTCATTCTCACAAGAGAAAAACATGTTGAAATTCTCATCCCTGATACTTCTCTCATTCATGCACTAGGATGGAGAGCACATGAACTCATATCCAAACTGAGAGCTTAATATGATGATTAGATCATCTTAGAAAGCTCTAGGACTTGTATCTAATCTAAGAGCTAATCAAAGGAAAATGCAATCTGGAGGGACATTATGCTAGGCCCACAAAATAGAATTGATTGATGTTTATTTAGAAAGTTTGTTTGAAGATCTTGTTTGTTTGTTTGTTTGTTTTGAAGAGTTATGTTTGTTTGTTTTTTGTTCAAGTTTTTTTTTTTTTTTTTTTGAAGGTTTTGTTTTTGGTTTGATTTTTTTTTGTTTGAATGTTTTTTTTTTATTTTACTAATTCAAGAAAACTAAAACAAAATATTTGAACGAAGCACAACAAAAAATAATTGAAAAAAATAAATTAGAATTTAACGTGAAAAAAACCCGAGGAAAAGAAAATCACAGTGCAATATCTCTAAGAAATTTTCACTATAAAATTTAGAAAAGTGCAAATTATTTACTCCGATTTCTTCTCTACAATCATTTGAAATTAGCGGACTTAGCTCCAAACACATCTTCTTGTTGTCACAAATGAAAAACACACTGAAATCCTCCTCTTCCACCCTTCTCTCTTTTACAAGACCTTTGTCCAAAGAACAATACGCGAGAGTCTCTTCCATCATCGCTCAAAGTCACGAATTTATAATTATTTCGCTCTTTCGGGAAGGCGTCAACCCTCAGCCGCATGGCCATGCCCATTTCGGTGTGGTTAAGCCGACCGGCATAGCGATGATAGCTTAGAGCGTGGATACGTCAAGTACAAGGACAGCCCATTAATTGATTTTAGTCATTTAGTTTACTAATTTAAAATAAATTAAATAATTTTTAATTTTATTTAGACACAATTTTCCTTATCTAATTCATCTGCACAGATGCTGATGTCCTTTATCATTTTTTTCTCATTTTTACGTATAAATGCATGCATGCATGCATGCATGCATGCATGCATGTATGTATGTACATACATACATATATATAGAGAGAGAGAGAGAGAGAGAGAGAGAGAGAGAGAGAGAGAGAGAGAGAGAGAGAGAGAGAGAGAGAGAGAGAGAGAGAGAGAGAGAGAGAGAGAGAGAGAGAGAGAGAGAGAGAGAGAGGGAGAATTAGAGTTTATAGCTAAAAATTTACAAAACTGAGTCCAAAAGAAAAATATTGACAGGCAATGTGCCGATGACCAAGCCCTCTTTTTTTATTATTGCATGCATTCATCTAGGGGTGTAAACGAGCCGATCGTTTATATTTCGAGCTAAAAAAGTGTGTTCGTGTTCGGCTCGTTTAGGCAACGAGCCGACCCCGAGCTGGTTCACATTTTAACAACACTAATCATGTAGCCATAAGACAATAAGAGTTTGAGCAAGATTTAAAAAATTTTCTTTATATTAAAACATCATTTGAATCTAATTTAATAAATTTTATTCTATTTTCTTAATCAATATTTTAATTAGTTATAAATCTTTGTAGCTATGTAGTCAATTAATTTTTTTAAAAATACTACTTAATATTATATAAACTTGACGAGTAGTATTTCGAGCCAAAACGAGCCGAACACGAACGAACACATCTTAGTTCATGTTCGGCTCGTTAATTTATCGAACAAAATTAACGAGCCGAATACGAGCTTCTAAACGAGCCGAACACGAGCTGTTCGCGAACAACGAACTTTTTTGACAGCCCTACATTCATCCAGTCAAATAGCTCAAAACAATAAGTTATATATTATCTTATTTAATTGAGGTAAATTATGAATTAAATGGATACTAACTCAAAATTTATGTGATTGCATATTATAATATTATTTGTTAAAAATTTAATAGAAAAAATCAAATATTCGTTCACATTATTTATTTATCTTTTAACTTGTTGAAATATTCATTAAATGAATATAAAAAAAATATAAGTTAAATATGGTTATTAAATGTATAAAGAAACCAAATAGTTCAGGCTCGGCTCGCGTCGGGCTGAAACATCTTGTAATATGACAAAGCCTGGACCAATTCACAACGACTCAGCTCAACTCTACTTTGACAGAGAAAATATTAGATCCGGACTCCAAATGCCCAAACAACAGCCTGGATGCAGCAAGGAGAGCATTTTTTTTTCCTTTGACAACCCAGTCTAATAACTAGCTACCCTAGGGGGGAAAAGGCATAATAATAGTGTAATTTCCAATATCATTTTATAATACACATATTGTCATTATACAATTACTTTTTTTTTTTTTTTTTGACAAAATAGAAAATTTCACCACAAAATATCTTACAGTTAAAATAAATATCAAAATTATCAAATTAACTTTAAATTATTGCAGTCAAATTTTATATAATACTTATTTTTAGCTCAAATTATTAATTTTAAATTTATTTCGATCTCATTATTCCAATCAAATTTTATTTAAAATGAATCTCAATATACATACATACAAATATATATATATATATATATATATATATACTTAGTTGGTTATACAGTATATAAAACACCTAATTTTCCAACAACAAAAAAAATTTCGATATACATTCTAATAAGAAAAATAATAAGCCGTACATTTGGAGAGCACAAAGAATTGATTTGCATGGGAAACCCTAACTAATCATCACCTTGCATCCGCCTCCTCCGCCTGTCTTGCCACTAAACCCCCGCCGCTGGAACCATTCGTCGTCGAAAACCCACTATACGCCGATCCCGGCGACGACGACGTATAAGTAAAACCATTCGTCATCAACGTCGTCGGAGGCGGACAGTACATCGGCACCGGCATCCTCGCCGGCAACTTCGGCACCGTGGCCTCCTTCTTCAACACCGCCATCGCCTGCCTCACCGTCGGCCTCATCGTACTATCAGGATGAGCGCACCACAACCCCACCGCGATCAACCTCCCCATCTCCTCCTCATCAAACTCATCCCTCAATCGCTGGTCGGCGGCCTCCATCATCTTCCCGCTGCCGTAAAGGTCCCAAACCCAGCCGACAAGACCGATTCGATTGGGGCGTTCTTTAGGCTCGACGGGGCGGCGGCCGGAGGCGAGTTCGAGAAGAACCATGCCGAAAGCGTAGACATCGGATTCCTTGCTGGCTTGGCCGGAGGTGAGGCTTTCGGGGGAGAGGTAGCCCATGGTGCCGGCGAGGACGGTGGTTTGCATGCCGCGATCGTGGTCGACGAGACGGGCGAGGCCGAAGTCGCCGAGTTTGGCGTTGAAGGAGGCGTCGAGCATTACGTTGCTGGGTTTGATGTCGCGGTGGACGACGCATTCTTCCCATTCTTCGTGGAGGTAGAGGATGGCGCTTGCCAGACCAAGAGCGATTTTGTACCTGTAATTAAATTTTGATTTTTGATTTTTTTCAGGAGTCTCTTGTACATAGTTTAGTGAAAATTTTCTCAAATTCCTAATCCTACTTGAATGATCAACGGACATCCTTCATTTTAATCAAGATTATGACCAAGTTATGCCTTTCTTTGCATTAAAAATGGTAATTAGTGACTGATTACCATTAAAAAGAGATTAAAAAAAAATTCTGCAGAGTAATTAGTGTACCTCAAATGCCAAGCCAGAGATTTCTTGCTCTCATAAAGGTAACCATCCAGGCTTCCATTTGGCATCAACTCATAAACCAGTATGAGCTCTCCTCTCCCATGGCACCACCCTACCAACTGCACCAAGTTCCTATGCCTCAGCTGGCTTATAATCTTCACCTCTGCAACATACTCCTTCTTCCCCTGCTTCGATCCCCTCGAAACCCTCTTGATCGCAACCTCGACGATGGGATCCTTGAGCACTCCCCTGTAAACTCCGCCGAACCCCCCTTCTCCAAGCTTCATCTCCTCATCGAAGTTCTTCGTCGAAGCAGCCAGCTCACTATAATGGAATCTCTTAGGTCCTCCCCTTCCCTTCTCAAACTCGTCATCAATGGTCATATCACCTTCTTCTTCATCAAAGCTACCATCATTTATTTCTTTCTTCATTCTCCTCCTCCAAAAAAGAAACCAGGCAAATCCCCCAACCATCAGGAACAACCCAACGGCTAATGATACTCCCACTACTAAACCCGCCCTGCTCTTTCTGTTCCTTTCATCCACGAATTTCATGGTAGAGTTGAAATCCCATGAAAGTATGTTGTGTATCTCCACATAAGTCCCGGTGGCTGCCGAAAATCCGACGGCCACCATCTCCGGCAAGACATCTCTCAAGTCAACAATGTAGGAGAGGGTTTGCTGGTCGGTAAAGATCGGATCTTTTTCGTAGGTGAGGAAGACGCTGAGGTTCTTCGTGGAAGCGTTGTAGGTCACCCAAGCGTTCCCGATCCTGCCGTCCTTGAGGCTGCTGCTCCACGTGATGGTTGCCACCGATTCGACGGAGTTAATATCGATGCCGACGTGGTCCGCGCTCGGATCCCATTCATTCTTGTAGGTATCGAACTCGACGGCGACGAAATTGACTGTGCTGTTGGGCGCCACGCTGCCGTCAACGAGGCCGAGGTTGCGGCCGGAGGAATCGGCGGGGACGATGGAAGGGTAGGGGGAGAGGAAGAAGGTGAGGCCGTCGCCGTAGTAGGAACTGTTTAAGGCGTCGATGACGAAGGAGAAGTGGGTGGTGAAGTCGGCTAGGTCGCCGGAGGCGGAATCCCAAATGCGGATGGGGTCGCGGTAGACGGCGCGGCCCTCTTGGCTATGGAACTGCCGAGCTCGTTTTTGGTAAGCTTGATAACTTTGTCGAAGAAGGAATCGTTCTGGAAGGTGATGAATTGGGGAGTGGAGGAGTTGAAGTAGGTGAAATTGAAGGAGAAGGGGGTGGAAAGGGGGAGGAGGGAGAGGAGGAGGGGGGGAGGGGGGAGGAGAGAGGGGGAGACATTTGGTCGGAGGAAAGGAATCGGCTTGGGGATTGCGGTGACGAAGAGTTTTAGAAAAAAATTAGAACTTGAGGTGTGGGATGACAGGCTGATAACAGGTCTTCGCCGGCCGGCTAGGTCAACAGGGGAGATGGATAGGAAGCCGTCCATGTAGGGAGAAATATTAGGTAGACATTCGTCATGCCTCTGTGGGAAGGAGGAAGGTGAAATTTTGTTTAGTAGCGAGCATATAGATTATAGTTTTATTTTATTTATTCAAGAGTTTTTAAGCTGAGTGCAGTTCACGGAACGCTGTTTTAGTATTTCTTTCATTGCATTTCAACAAATTTTCCTCGTGAAGCACGAATATCAAGGAATGGCTTAAATTTTAAAATATTTTTTACTATTTTAGTAAAAAATATTTAATTTTAATTAAGACTCATCCAGAATTTTAATTTCAGAAAACTTCTGGTCGAACTAACGGGCACGACGAGACAGCACTCAATGATATCGAAATTGGTCCGATCTGAGTTAAATCAGGTCCAAATCAAGCAATTAAATTACTTATGAAAGTTTTCAGTGCATCAGTGAAAAGTCAAGCGTATTCCAAATTTGATATATTTATAGTCAAATCGAGTGTCTCGGCAAGACAAATATAACGAGCCAAAATCACTCATTTCTGACATAATTAGGCACTTAAAGGTTTAATAAATGACGTTTGATCAAGAGAAACTCTTCTAGTCGTTTGATGGAGTTGTATCGATTTCTTCCTTATTTGCAACTTGGACTCCAAAAATAGAGCTTTAAACCCTCTTGAAAAGGGACCTAGATGTTGAGTTGGAAGAAGAAGGAAGCTTGGAGAAGAGGTTTAGATCCACCATTGTTTCTGCACTATAAATCTGGTGAATGCCTCCCACTCTGGCAATCGTCGTCGCCAACTCCAGCCCACGTTGTCGGCTAGTTCATGCAGCAGACCAATTCCTTTGGCCAACTTTGGACACTGTTGCAAGCCAACTCCAGTTGTCGCCTCTAGCAGCCATTGCGACCGCCTTTGATGAGCTTTGGTTGTCGCCACTAGCAAACTCTGACCACCACCCGCTGGCTACCATCAGCTACCACTTGGTCATTGCAGTCCCTTGTGGAGTCATAACATCTATTGCAGAATCCCTACATACATTCCAGAACAGTGAATCTCCTGACTGAGTTATGTCGTCTATTATAACATGTGGTAATACACCCTGTATATCATCCAATGACGGTGTAACAACGTATCTCACATACAATGTGATAATGCCTTATGAAGACAGTGTAACGACACTTCCCGATAACGATGGAACAACACACCCCACATACGATACGACAATGTCTTCTGAAGACAGTGTAATAATATTACTCACATATGGTGTGACAATGACCCTTGAACACGGTGCAACAACACACTTCGATGACAGTTTAACAACGCACCCCACATATAGAGCGATAATGTTTCCCAAAGGTGTAACAACGTACCCCAAATACGATACAATGACACGCTGATGACAGTATAATAATGTACCCCACATATGATGCAATGACTCCTCCCCGGAGAAAGTGTAACAATGTTCTCGAATACGGTGCAATACAGTGCAACGACACACCTCTATGATGGTGTAACAACGCACCTAACATACAATTTGACGGCTCCTCCCGACGTCGGTGTAACAATACGCCTCGAAGACAGTAACTTTCTCTAGACTCCTAAAGCTCTCTCCTTACATTCCACCATTACAACTTACGTGACCAACTGAAAGCGACTTTACATATGCTTAAAAATATAAGAATTTGATACTGTTGCTAGAAGATTTAAGTTTCCGGCAACGGCGCCAAAAACTTGACAACGGTTATAGATTTGATAAAAATGTATATAAAATATTCAATAATTGCAAAGTCAACACTTATCAACGCAAGTATACGTATCGCTCAAGTAATACATGACTCTAATGGAGTCTTGGATATCGATCCCACAGGGAGTAATACTAGAGGCTATGAACTAGGATTTAGAAAATCAATACTTAATCACAACAATACAGTTCAAATTGCTTATTTATCACTAATAGGCAATTTAAATAAATATGTAATTTTAATAAAATCTTAATTAACTAATTTTACTAATAAAGTTTCTGATGTGCAGTTCAATATATAAGAAAACATCATTCTCATTGTCAAAATATGAAAGTGAATGGATAAAGTGAATTAGTTCAAATTGTATTGTGTCAAATAGGAGAATACATATTTTTTACCCTACTGTGTCAAATAGGAGAATACATATTTTTTACCCTTTGGTCCAAGCATAAAGACATTGACTAATTCTATGCTTGGTTATTGAATCTACGGTTAGGCTGGGAGGATACCGGCTCTCAGTTCAGAGCTCCCGTGTTCCCCTTGTCTGAGGGCTAACATTACACTTCAGCACCCAAACGATAAGACTGAATTGAGGATTTTAGTCTGTCACTCTAAAATCTCCAATTCTACGTCCGATAATTTTATTTCTCTATTTATTTGCACCGAACTTTCAAAGACTTTGACCTCCCTAAATCTTGGATGTAATCACTTTAGTTGTAAAACTCAACATA